GGTGATGGTGAAGAGACGGCTGAGCATGAGCCAGCAGTGTGGCCAGGTGGCCAAGAAGGCCAATGGTGTCCTGGCTTGAATCAGGAACAGGATATCCAGCATGCTAAGGAAAGTGATTGTCCCTCTGTACTCGCACTAGTGAGGCCACATCTCAAATATTGTGTTCAGTTTGGGGCCTCTCAGGGCAAGGACATTGAGGCGCTGGAGCGCATCCAAAGAAGAGCAAGGAAGCTAGTGAAGGGTCTGGAGCACAGAGTTTATGAGAAGTGGTTGAGAGAGCTGGGATTAATTTGGAGAATACGAGATTCAGAAGAGACCTTATCCTTCTCTACAAGTACCTGAAAAGAGGTAGCAGCGAGGCAGGGGTCTACCTCTTCTCCAGAGTAGCTACTCATAGGAAAAGAGGAAATGGCCTCAAGTTGAGCCAGGGGAGATTCAAGTTAAGAGTTTAAGAAGAATTTCTACATGGAAAGAGTGGTGAAGTATTGTAACAGTCTGCCCAGGGAAGTGGTGGAGTCACCATCCCTGGCAGTGTTCAAGAAGTGTATAGATGAGGCACTTGGGGACATGGTGTAACAGACATGGTGTTGAAGGGTTTACTTTGACAGGCAGGGTGTTGAAGTGTTAGACTCAATGATCTTAAAGATCTTTTCTGATCATAATGATTCTATGATTATATAAAATAAGCAAAACCATCCTGCATGTTGAATATCTCTCTTCTCCATATTATTTATATTAGAGGAAATAGGGCAGTTTCTGAATAAGTAGGCAATAGAAGAGGGGACCTCCAGCACATAGAATATGGTCAATATGAAGGACTCACAACACAAAACAGAGAGTGTGTTTTGTTTTATTCTGTTTTGTTTTGGTTTGGTTTGGTTTGATTTGTTTTTTACTGAACTCAAATCTGATGAAATTTACTCCAACAAAATTAAAAATGAGATGATATTTTTGGTTCTCATCCTCAGCATACTGGTTTTGCCTCACAAAATTTTAACTGTATTTCAACTGTATATTTTAAACTCTAGCAGCACATTTGTATAAGTAGATTGTGTAAGTTAAAAGTAAACAATAGTAACTATTAAACCATTCAACTATTGTTTTCTGTTCTTTAAAAGACTATATAAATATTACTTAAATTAAGACAGAAAGCAGGTACTCTGATTTTAAAAAACTGGAAGCCAGCATTCCTTCTCCTTCCTTAAAGACCGAATCATTCATGTGCGAATGGGTATAAACATCTAAACAGGCCCTCCACTGCTGTGACCAAAGTAGGACTGCGCACATCTCAGATCGGCTGCACAGGGTGTGTGCTACACAGAGATACTCTCACTGAAGAATATTTACATCCATAGAAATTCCACAAGATTTCCAGTAACGTAAATGAGAAGAAAATAATATTCAGCATATTTGGAGATGAGTTCAAACTGCTTCTCTTTTCTTAGACTTTTGCTTTCTTTTTTTTTTAAATTTTCTCTTTTATATCTCTACTTTTGGTATATTTTTTACATGATTGTTTTGTGTCTTCCCCTTCTTTTTCCAAAAAAGAATTCAATTTTGTTTGAATTCACCCCCTCAAATTAAACAAGGTGAAGGACTTCAGTATAGCAAACAAAGAAAACAAAAACCTTCAATCGTTACATTCATATGACTACTGTATAACTAAGACCTCATTAAAAACTGAGGTAGGTATATAAAATTAACAAGCCGATTAACAATAGTTTATGTGTAAAGAAAAAGCTTCTCACTCACTGCTTAGATTCTACTAAGCTGTAAAGGCCAGAACCAGGGAGAGGACAGTGGGGTTCTGCCAAGCAACTGAGCACACATTGACATTCTCCTCCAGTGGCTAAGACATCCCGCCACCTCTCTGGCTAGGACTTCTCCTCATGACCTTACCTGACACTGAGCTCACAAATACATCATTAAAACCTCTTCTCAACAGCAGTGTAACCCCCAAAAAGACAATTTTAGTAAACAGACTTGCCCCAGTTCAGTTCTAATGCCTATGTACTTATGTCGGTATGTTTGATCTCAAAATCTAAAAATATACTTATTTCAAAATCTTCTTCAACCACCTGAAAGCTTTATATCATATTAGGAATGAATTATATCTATAATATAGGAATATATTATATATATATAATATAGGAATATGCTATATAGGACATAATATAGGAATTTTATCTATAGTATAGAAATAAAAAAAGAGAAATTATTTTCTTCAATATTGGAAGCAAAAACTTTATTGATGTGAATGGGAATTAAGCCTGTACATCAAAAGGCAATATGAGCTGAAGCTACTTAATTTATTAAACACTTTTGTCATTTAATTAAGAGCAATCAAAAGTGATAATTGTATTTTCATAGGAAGTTAGGAAATAATTCAAGAAATCAAGCTGACTAAGACTACCTTATAGATTCATTTTCTGAAATATGCTAATTTAATAAGTAGAGTTTAGAAAAGCAAAAATGTACACATGTATAAGAGAGAGCTATAAATTAAAAGTAGCAAAGAAGTAATCGTACTAATTTGAAATAAAATAAAAAGATAGGACAATCTATTAACCCTGAAAGAGCTACAACGAAAGATCCAGGCCCTTTTTACATGTTCTCTATTTTTTTTTCTTGTATTATAGGGAAAAAAAACCTCCAACTTTTGCTTTGGTTATAGTTTTATTCGTTAAAGGCAACACAGAGAGCATCTCTTCCATGCTTAAGGTTATCTGACACTTTCTTATATAAAATGTTTTGCAATGATAAGGGTTTTCACAAAGGCTGAACATTTTTTTAGAACCTAAATTCATGCATGGTTCATCCACATTTAGTCCAGAACAGTGGAAGTGGAGTGACCCTTACTCTGCTGCTGACCGTTCAGTGATCTGGGCAGAACTCAGCAGATATTCTCTTCCCTATGTGTTCAGGTCTTTGATTGTTTTACGCAGGGAGGAGGAAGGGGAAAAAAAAATGTGGCTACCATCTGACTGGGTCACAACTTGGCCATAGGATATGGCATTAGAAATGGGGGTAAAAGATAAAGGAACTGGAGTGTGGAATGTAAGAGACCATCTGCAAAGAAGGGAAAACATTAAGAAGACAAAGGCAAAAGAGTGTTCCTGTTCCAAATAAGATAAAAACCTAGGAGTGAAAATATCTCCTTTCATAAGGCAATTTAAAAAAGTGTCAACACATTACTTCCATGTGGTGTCAAAAGTATGCAGTAAATATCAGGATTCTAAACCTCCCATAGTCAACACATCCCATTCTACGAACTATTTTTCAGTAGGTTTAAAAATAAAAAGAATATTAAATACTTGGACAATGTTGATGAACACATTCTCATTTGAAAATAGCAGAAATGCCTTCTGTGAAATGAATTTTGCTAAACTGAATTAGTGAGTATTAGTTTGACCCTGCCTTCAACCTTAGGCACTGAAATCTATTTAAATTTGGTAAAATTTAGAATTACTATCTTTTCCATGCTCTTTCTAATTCACCATCCTGAGACATACAGTGACCAAAGGCACACATCTAAGGCCAGCCTAAGACTTGGGAGGGAGATTTATTAAGAGGAGAGGCAGCTTGCCCGACTCTGAATGGGTTCCCGATTAGAAGGAGTTCAGATGGGCCTTGTCATGCTAAGGACTGGGAGGAGACATTGCTAGACAGTATCCCTTTATTCTGACACCATTCAGAGCTGTCCAGAGCTCATAATATGAGTCCACAACTCATATTTCTTTGTTCTGCAATCTTAATATGTGCCCTAACAAAGTACATCTTTACGTATGGACTCCATACAAAACCATAAAAAACCATTCTTAACCCTCAGAAAACAATAGTAGTTCTACTTTCAATGAGATATAAAATAGCTAACTTTTTAAGATAGTTTCCATTCTGAGATTAATTTATCTTCAATGTCTCCCTGGAAGATTTAAGAGTCTTCTCTTAAGAAAAGGGAGAAAACAACTTTAGTCTTACCACAGCTACCAATAGCATACTATAAGGAAGAAAATATCTGAAAAATTACTTGGATGATAGAAAGTACAATTTCTGAAAGTGTGTGTACCATGATACAAGAGACACTAGTCTCATCTCTTGAGATTTAGGTCCAATTCTCAAACCATTCTTTTTTCCTTGGCTAGATGTTATTGAGGCAAGCTGGGAATCAAAGATACCTAGTGGAACCACTAGAAAGAACCAATCTTTCTCCTTATGCCAAGGACTTAAGAGATATTAGCACTGAGCGGGAAAGAATGGCTTAATTTGGCATTTGGTTTAGCAATGATCTTTTCAGAAATCCTGCATGGTTACAATAGGGATAATCAGAAGTGCCTTTATGAAGTTAGGAACTCAAATTCTATTAAAAGGTGAAAAGATTTCTAAGCCCCAGAGGTTTTTGGAAATCTTCCCTCCAAAAGCTAAGGACTGGGCTATTCAAGCTTTCACAAAAGATTGCTCATGAAACTGCTAAGCTCATCTGTCTCCATTTAGTATGATATCTGGTCCACAGATATTAGTCCACACTCAAATACACCAAGAAAGTGAATTTAGAAAATATTTTTTAACCTATCAGCCATAAAGCCATAGGGAGAAAAAGAAATCAGCACAAAAGCATCCTGTAGCTGAATTCTGAGCTGAAAGGGTATCAGCCAAGCTCTTACATGTATCTTCAGCTTGTAATTTATGCTATTGCTCTCTCAAGTACTGTCTTTTAAATAAAAACCAACTCTTACTTCCACCCCAGCAGAAGCTTATGTGTTAGAAGAAAGTGAACTCATTCCTCATCCACGGGAAACTGTAAATTAACTGGCTGACCTACTCAGTCAGTCAGGCTCTTTGAATTAGGGGGTGCCTCTTTGCTTTGTAAATCTTGGGCATGACCTGCCCCTGTCTTCTAGACTGACCAGATGAACAAAAGCTTTTAGAGTCCTGTGGAGGCACTGCCCCTTCCTTTATGCCTGTGGTTTCTGTTTGCAGCAGCCCAAGGGACCACACGGAGGTCAGGTGTGTAGCTGTTGGTGAGACATCAGCTCAAGAACATTGCGGAAGCGCTTCCCACATGGTTTGCACACGTGAGGTTTCTCCCCCAGGTGAGTTTTCTGATGGAGAGTGAGGCTGGAGCTGCGGGTGAAGTGGTCACCACAGTCCGTGCACTGAAACATGCGCTCGCCGCGGTGCACCTCACGGTGCTGACTCAGAGCAGAGTTGCGGCTGAAGCTCTTTCCACACTCTATGCAATCGTAGGACTTCTTTGTTGCATGGACACGCTGATGCTGGAGGAGGTTGGAGCTGCGGCTGAAGCTCTTGCTGCATACAGTGCACTGGTGAGGACTCTGTTCTTGTGAGGTTCTCTCTGAGACTGCAGTGTCTCGTAAGTCTCTTAAATTACAGCATCTCTTTCTGGAGACCCCTGTCTTTTTGTTCTCAGAGGGTCTTTCTAAATTGTTTTTTTGAGACATTTCACCCTTCTGACAAGCTAGGTCACTGTTTTGGAAGATGCCTTCCCTTTGATGTCCTGATGATACCTTAGGCACTTCTGTATGCCCAGGACCTTCCTCTTCAGGATTCTCTGTTTCTTCCTCAAGTCTATCAACTGCTGTGGGTAGAAAAAAATAATTTGCTCCCAATAATAACAGACAATTCTTTTATACGTGTACATTGAAGCTAACAGTTCTATTCAGTTACATTATTAAGACACACATTTACATTTAGTGTAATTAAAAAAAACAGGTTTTGTCACCTGAAGGAAAACAACATAAAATACAGTTCCTGTGAAAGAGTATGAACAAGAGAACAGAGTCCTGAGTATTGTTGTAAGCAAGAAAGGAATAGGAGGAGCCAGTAAATATTTTGGGGAAGGCACAAAGTAGCTACTGAGTAACTTAAGCATCCCTATAGTAGCAATTTAAAGATGAGCGCGTGTATTACAGTTTGAACAAAATCCAAGCTGTGCAATACCAAGAGCAGGGTTTTCATTGTGTTTGGTACTACAAAAGGGCTAGAAATCCATCATGTTTGATATTTTCTGCATCATCAATATTAATTTTATACTATTGTCCATAGCTTTGATACTATAGTCAAAAAAAGAACTGAAACCTTCACCAAGCTTTTAAGTCACACGAGAACATTATGAACATTTGACCTCTTGCAAAGGACAGGCTAGAAGGTTTAATTCAAATCAAATGATATGCTCGGGTTCAACTAGCATTTAAAAGTTATAACTAAGTTATAACAATAAACTATACCTATGCTTACATATCTTAGGTATATAGTAAAGCCAGATGGCTTACTACTTTGTACTCTTTAATAATCAGTGAGTTAAAACCATCTGGTCTGTTCCCTGGAAAATCCTAAAAAAAAAATCTCACTTGGGAGCGCTTGAGGACAAACATAAATGAGTAAAAACAATATTTTTTAACTTAGATACCAAAATCCCCAGAATAATGCAAGCTTCCCTCCTTTATCTTCCTCATTTAAAACAAAAGCATCTCACTTTGAAGACCAGGAGGGAAATCTGATTCCATAGTTCCTTGTTTCATGATTCTCTTCAGTGAGGTGCCAGATATGATGTTGGACATGTTGCTTTACACATCAAAAATAAATCATTAAAAACAGCCAGGCCTAGGAATGTCAAATACCAGGCAATAAATCAGGCTATATTACTGGTAAATCATATACTGAAGCATTTCCTGCTTTCTCAACAGTCATCATTTTGTATATGTTCTCATATACACAGTTAATTCTATATGTTCCCATCTCTTCTAGCTTCTTACCCTTCTCTTGAAGGAACTGGAGATCTTCTTTAGCAACAGAGAATAGCTCATAGTTGAGCTGTGGTTTTTTGCTTTCTTCTGCCCCTTCCTGAGATGGCTTTTCAAAATCAGACTGCGGCTCATTAAGTGGAGGCTCCAATAATTTCACAGGAGCAGCCATCTTCACACGGTTCACTTCTTCAATATTCAAATGTTCTGTAACCTGACAATAAACCAAGCACACTGTGAAGAGGAAAGGCCTTGGAATCACTAGGAAGTCAGATCCGGTACCCTGAGGAATGAATATGCATCTCACCCTCACTCTTCTCGCTGCTATTTTGGTGCAGAATAAATGAAGAAGGACTAAAGGTCTCATACTGTCTTTTGCCAAGCTGATGCAGGTGAAAAATCTGCCTACATAGCCGTTTAAATTGCTGCATGGGAGCCGTATCCAAATGCAAGGAATACACACAGCTTTATCCCAAATAATGCTTCCTCAACTGAATCTACACTGAATCTACAAATCCCTTCTCAGGCTGTCGAGTCAAATTTGAATTCTATTTTAAAGACCAGTGCACTTAGAATTTTTGGTGCAAGCTCCCAGACCTGGATTGAGCAATGTGAAGTAGTCCTGGAGAGGCCAAGAGCAGTTTCTCAGGCAGAAAACCTGAGAATCTCTCACCCATGTTTATTAGTCTGTCACTTCCCCCCATATGCACTCTTGAATGAAACTCTTTGACACTGCCTTTCCAAATACTTGTAAGTTCCAGAAGTCTTTTTTTTTTTTTTTTTTTTTGTTTTTGCATTTGAAAATGTCCTTAGTCTTTTTGTACTTCCAGCTTCTTTTACTTATATAGTGGAGTTATCTCTGTACTTTTTTTACTGTTAAGGAGACATTAAGGTTGAATGTATGAATGTTCACAAAGAGCACAGTCGTGACAGAATTAAATGCATAGATGATGATGGATTAATTGGTTTATTTCTTTATTGTGGAAGGTGAGAGTCTTAGCTGTGCCTTACATTTTTGAACTGGGACATTTTTAAATGGGAATTGTTATAGGTTTCTCTGCAAGCAAAGTATCCTTTAACAGAAACTCCAATTTGATGAGGACCGTTTCAGTATTAATACTAAAAATTAGCAAAAATAGACACTTGTTTTCCACAGGAATTTTAAAGAAAAAGTAGTTTCCATTTTTAAGCTTAATCTTATGGTTCTTCAGTGCAAGAAGTAGAATTAAGTAGCATTTAAGTTTTTATCAAGCTACATCTGCTATATCTGAGTTAGCTAGCTTGCTACCTTATGGCAACTCATATGCCTGAGCCTGTCTCTTTTTTGAGACTCTTTCCACATTTCAGCATAATTCATGACACACTCAGACCTTCCGTTGCCATCTGGCAAGTAAAAGAGAAAGCACCTCTTCTAGGTACTAAATCTGTCTTACCTGTCTTTGTATAATGGTACATCAGGAGCCTGAAACCTTCATTGAGCATCATCATCATCATCATCATCATCATCCCTTCATGGGGATGATTAAACTCTTATGGGATTTCCACTCTACAGCTCTTACCTATCCAGTTTAAAATCTGCAGGTGACTGCACGTTGGGTAAAACTAAGATGGCAAAACTAAAGACTCACCATGAGGAAATTCTTATTATGGCAAGAAAGAGTCACAAGGCTTGACATATCTACAGTTTTCCTCCTCCTTTGGGTACCCTCACTCTGCAGCCCTATTATTTTATCCTCTGCCTGGTCTTAGATGAATACCTTCTCCCAGAGAAGTCGTCTGTGTGTAGGTATCTAGACCATTTTCCTAGACCCAGCTCTTTAACCAGTGTACAGAAGAACTGTTGCAGGATATGCATGCCCATAATCTGCTTCTTTGTAAATCTCCCTGCTTTCAGCTTTTAACTCTAGTTGTCTGCAAGCCTTGTGGGTACCCCCCAGCTCCCAGGGGCACTCTCAATAAAGCAGCAGCATTGCAGACAGCTATTTTTAGTCCTACAGTCTGTGTCAGATCGGTAGCAGTTTTCCCCACAGACAATCTGTACAAAAACTATTGAACCTGAGTATTCCATACCTGGTGAAGACTGGTCAAATCTCTTCTTGCATGTTTAGGTCAGCAGCAGCAAAAAGACTGGCAAAAGCAGCAAAACAAAAGCACATCAGGAAGCATGACCTGAATCATTTTTAAGAGAAAAAGATTAAAATAAAAATTATATAAGTATAATAAAAATTATACCTACCGCATATTCTAAAACATCAAAACTAAAATAGAATCTCTTTATGCATCAGGTACTAGTTCTGACACAAAGACCATCTGATGTTAGCATAAATGCTAAAATCTAGAATACCTATATTCTCCGGGTGTGATCTAAAAATGCAATAGGCCAATCATTTAAATTTCTGCAATTTATGCTGCAACAATTTACAAGTTGCTGAATGTACACTACTTCATGTTTTCATACAAAAAGATGAACGACATATATGCTCTTGACAGTTTGTGCAATATTTAGTGTATTACTAAGTCAATTCCCAGTGAAACTCCACAAATGTATTTTTACTTTATAAAACTAAAATCTAGCCCTGATTGTTTCAGGCAAATTGTTTAAGTACATGTGAATTGAAAAGGACAATCCAGAAGTTAAAGTAAAAATGTAGCACCTTTTTAGTATCTCATAAATGACAGTATATTACAATATTTGGACACTTCATTCATGAACACCTGAGGTTCTGCAAAGCTGTTTATATATTTCATACTACATAGTCTCAGCTTTAACTATATGAGCAAAAATGCTGAAAGTACATATTATCTCCTCACTGTTATTCAAAATTTGCATTTTCAAAAAGTTGAACTCTTTTGGAAACAGTGACAGCTGGGAATCTATTAATACCCAACTGACAGAGGTAAGGAACAGAGATAGTGGTTCTTTAGTCTTAGCCAGCATGGTAGTTCTTATGATCTAAACTTTGGAGGATATATAAAAACTGTCAGACAGGAAATGCTGTCACCCAACACTAGCTACAGACTCCTATTATCAACTGCAAGTTGGATTTAAAATGCAGGTTATGCTATCTCCATTTCTAAAAGGCAGGCATGCCTAGTATAATTTATTAAGCTGCAAGCCTTATCACAAGGCAGAGGCATGCGTGTCCTGCAGTGGAGGGAAGCACATACTGATGCACTAGCAGAACAGACATGCACAACATTTTAAAGTATTAAAAATATTTGGACTTTGAAAGGAGGAACTTTCTAACTAATTTCATAATTCTGCTTTTATTCTGCTTTCCTAGATGTGTCTTTCATAGACACACCACGTATATCTTCATAACAATTTGATTCTTATGGCAAATTTAGAACACCATAGCATTTAAAATATGCCATATTAAAAAAAAGGGGGGGGGAAGAAAAAGAGAAATTAGTGTTTTCTTGTATGCAAGCATTTCACTAAAACTCCTTTCAAAGCAGATACAAAATGTGCTGGGTGACATGATAAAAATAAAAATACCTGTAGATGAAGTTCCCATGCATTTATGTGGAGCCAAACGCCTGAAGTGCTTCCCCCTCCTGCTCTGTGCTTGCTTGGGCAACTCTTATTTCTTACTTCACCATCATATGAGAGAAAGAAGGCAAAATCCAAGCCTTGAAGACACCCCCATCACTCCCAACCCACCTAGAAAGGGGCCTAAAAGCTTCCTAAACTAGCAAAATGTTCTTTGCAGATTTCCCTCCAAACTCCCAGCCATTTCTCAATGTCCACAGCATATTTCTCTCTTTACAAAGGCCAAACTTAGGCCGCAAGGCAAAAGTTGACAATCTACACACAAATTTTTTCCAAAGAAAGCTAAGGAAAAACTATAAATACGAGAGCAAGAGGGACAGTCACCGCAGACAGAGTATGGACTGTAAGAGCTCATATAAATGTATGCAGCGCCTCTGGACAACAAACCTCCCATAATCAGGATAGACTTGCATGGAGATCACTTCATGCCTCTGCAAAGTGATGTGAAGACTCCCGATCTTGGCCGACCTGTGAGCAGTGTCCAGCTAGCAAGCAAATGAAGCAAGGTCCTTGCGTGCCACCCCTGCAAAGCACCTAAGGAGCAAAGTCCGCAGGAGCAGGCAGCTACGAAGCATCGAAGCATCGTTGTGCTACAACGCCCAGACTCTACTGCCTCTGGAGGCAAATCAGTGACACATTAAACATCCATCAAGCAATCAGAGATTGCAGGGTTAAGGCTGACCAGTCCGGCCAGTTTCAAACTTTCAAAGCTAACCCTTCCCTTACCACTGTTCTCCCGAGTTGGTCGGTCTTGGGCCCCACTTACTGCAGCACTTGGAAGGTTTTATACTGCTACCCCCTCCCCTCCGGGATGCCCTGGCCACTGCTCTTGCCCCTGGACAGGCTCCTCTGTGTGTATTGTCAGCCCCCGGTGAGGCTGGTACATCCCAAGAAGTGGGATGCATCAGCTCTGCTTTGGAAAGTGACATTTCTATAGAGCTATAGCAACAATGCAATCATCATTGGACCGAAAATAATAGGGAATAAACATATATATATACATATACATAAACATATACATATAAATTCCATACAGACAGGTGCTCACGTAAATTCTGAGCAGGTTAATTGTATTGTAGCATGTAAACATGTAACATGTAAATTGTGAGCCAGTTAATACAATTAATTAATACAATTAACCAGCTCACAGTTTTCTTGAATGTGTATAATATAGGTCATTATTTGTCAAAAAAAGTGCCAAGCCAAAAGTATCTGCTTGTTATTCCCTTGAAATTATGCCTTTTTTTTTTTTTTAGACACATATTTTTTGATGGAAGCAGGTTTCACTATCTGCCTTACACTTTCAGATCAGCTATCCACTGTCAAATGCTGTATGTATATGTATCTCCTTCCAGTTCACAGAGATTTTTCCATCCATTGTTTCTATTTCTCTTATACACCCCACAAATTTGGAATCACAATTAAATTCCTTCCACAAGTACCCATTGAATTCTTAATCTACAGTATTCAGATTTTTTTTTTGAAGGTCAGAGAGTCTATGTGAATATTGACTTTATGAATTTATTCATGAGGTTTTTTGGACAAACTTTCATTTAAAAATCATCTCTTCCTACTCTGTACCACTGCTGAATATCTTGTTTGAGTCAATGTGCCTCCCATTGTGTCCATATGGACAAATACTGAAGCAAAATAGAGACTATGCCTAAAATGTAAAAGGTAAGAAAACTGCATGCAAATACAGTTTATGAAAATAGCACTGGAAAATGTAGTGGGGACTAATTATCTTGTTCCAGTAAAATTTATTTTGCTAAAAAAAAAAAAAAAAAAATAGGTTTCTTCTAGGAAGGTTAAGATATTAAGATATCTCTTTTCTAACATACTCTGAAACCACTTTTTTTTTTTTTTTTTTTTTTTGAGGCATGAAATTCGTCATTTATTTTTATTGCTGTTAAGCATAGAGCACTGTAAGTTTGGAAAGCAAAACAGCTGCAAGCTTGTTTTCTATTTTTTTAGATAGAATAGCTCCCCTGCTGTCATTTTCAAGTTAAAGACTAATTAGACTTACAGAGATATTTCCAGAAAGATGAACATAAAATGTAAGGATCTGATCCTGGAAAAAGGCTGAAAATTTGCAATGTCACTCAAAGAAGGCAATGACAGACAAATGTAGGGAATCTGCTTTTTTTTTTTTTTTTTTTTTTCCCTCTGGGCCAAATTTCTTTCCTATAATGAGGCCCAACCTAAATTGAAAAACTCCGAGTCCAAAGAATCTGTTAAAAATCGGCTATTCAGGCAGGTTGGAGTCCTTTTCTGCTCCATACTGATACCCATGTTCTGCACAAGCATAACAGCAAGAGTTCCTCTGTGCTCTGTGAATTAGGGTTAAGATAGTCCATCATTCCCAAAAGGAATCTTTAGACTGTAGACTTCTGGCAAGATGATTTTTAACCATGTTTTTCTCTTGCTCTTCCCAGTAGAAGGCTAGTGTTTAAAGTGCTATACTCTTAGACTTGTGAGAAAATTGGGGCTTAAACTTTTAATGCGCCAAAGACTTTCAGGGAAGGAGAACTATTTCATAGGTTAATTAGAACATCAGGTCAGAAGGGACCATTAGATCATCTAATCTGACTGCCAGCATATCAAGATGTTGCATTTCCTGGACATTGTCCTTTTGCTGAATTAAACCTTCCGATATGCACATATGCTCTCAGAAAGGTATGTCATTCAGATCCTGGTGTGTCCTTTCACCAGTTTGCCTCTGTGATTAACACCTAATCTGGCCAGGGCTTCTTGTTAAGCATTTCTTTACCTATCTGGGCGTGGGCTTTGGGAGGGAATTAGCATTTCCTCTATAAGTATTTCTTCTTCTTAAGCACAGTAATCAAAATACTTTTCAGTGTCCCTTTGGATAAGTTAAGTAGCTTAAACTCTTTTACATGTCTTAGTAAACTGTACTTTTTTTTCTTCAGTCTTTCCATCACTCTTCTAG